AAGCCAGCGATGCACGTTCCCACCCGGACAGGAGCCGCCCCCCCACCAGACACAGCGGGCAGCCGCGGCTCGAATGCCCACCCGCTGCGCACACTGGACGGCGTCTCTCAACAGAGCGACACGGTGAGCTGGGTGCCAGAGGCGGCTCTTTAGAGGCGGCCTGCGGATTCTCGTCCCAGTGGGTCAGACCCCATTAGTAGCCACCAGGCGGCGACACCAAGGGCACCGAGGCCCTCGAGGACAGCAGGGCAGCCACGGAGCCAGGGCCCCAGGCGCCGCACAGGACACCCCTAGGGAACGCAGCGGACACCGACGGGTGGTTCTGTCCTCCCCCCACCTGCGCAGCCCCACGGTGGCACTAAATACCAAACCCCCTAATGAAGGGTCACTCAAGCAGCTGACCCCTTCACTGCCTATCTGTCCCGGGAAGACTTGGGTGCAGACCGGGCAGTGGTGGTGGGCGTGGGCACGACAGTGGGCACAGAGGGCGAGAAGGACGTGCTGGCCAGGCACCGAGGCGTGATGGGCTGGCTGGTGGGCAGGCGGCCGCGGCTGGGAGCTGGGCCTCACGGAGACGCCCCATCTCCCATCATCGACCCTCAGGCCACAACGTCAAAGCTGGTCACTATCACACTGGACTCAGCGCACAGTGAATGCTGAAAGTACATGTGGACACGGTTTGCTTTTAAATGTGAAAAATCTTATTTTCGAAAGCACTCTTGGGAGAAAACTATGCATGTATAAAATAGAAAAATAAATTGGCTCCAATCTAACCTCAAGAAAGAAAGAAGGGAAGGGAGGAGTAGGGAGAAGGGGGGAAGAAGGGGGGGAGAAGGGGGGGAGAAGGGGGGGAGAAGGAAGGGAGGGAGGGAGGGAGGGAGGGAGGGAGGGAGGGAGGGAGGGAGGGAGGGAGACCAAGCCCAGAAAAACTTGCAACGAGACAGGCCACCCCGACCACAAACGTGAAGCTGACCCCGGGACCGAACAGTCCTGGCCCAGTGGCAGGCCCCCGACAGGCGCAGACAAAGACGGGGTGTCAGCAAACACAGGGCACAGAGGATGCAGCACTGGGGGGGGTGGGGGAGGAGCCCCCAGGGGACTGCTGCTTCCACCCAAGGATGTGCTAATTCGAGAATCCCCTGCACACACCGGGCTCATCTGCATGGCCGGCCTGTCCTGGGCGCTCCTGTGATTAGGACCCAGGGCCGCTGCCACTGCTTTCGAGGACACAGGACTCTGTGCGTCGGGACTTCAGTCTGAGGAAGCAGAGGATGGAGAGCAAACCGAGGCTCCCGACGCACCTCGTGACCTGGGGCAAGTCACGTGCCCTCTCCCGGCTTGGGCCCCGGCACGGGGAGGGCCCCAGTGTGCGGTCCAGGTGCGGGGAGGGGGTGGCTTTCCCAGGAGCGCTCTCCAGGATGTCAGCTGCCACACGGTGTGAAGGGCTCGGCGGAGGTGCCGGAAGGCTGATGTGGACCATCCTAGGGCGGGTGGGGGCTCCGTCCGAGAGACGCCCCCCACCGGGACAGCACGCGCAGCACTAGCCACGGTCAGACCCTCTTCGGGCACTGCCGCCCAGCTTCCGCCCGGACTCCCAGGTGAGAATGCTAAGCATCCAGTCTACCTGACAAACACATGACAAAACCAGCAGTCTCGGGGAGAGTGAGGGGTCAGACAGGAATCTGTAATTTCTCTAGAGCTGGGTCTCACACGGATCCTGACCTGGTCTGACAATTACTGTCAGAGCCGAATTCTGCACGTGGGTTTTCCTGCCTTCCCGGGAACAGGAGCTCCAGCGGGCACCAGGCGGCGCTGCGGCAGGGAGCGGCCAGGAGCCGAGTGCAGGGCGCTCTGAGCTGGGATTTACCAAGTGGCTGCAGTTCTAGAATACGCACAGCACAGCGCTCAGTTCTGCACACAACCCAACCGGCGCTGGGTGCACGGCGGAGCAGCCCTGCACGTAAAAATTAAACCGTTCACGATTCAGCCGCATCTGCATCAGCTCCTTTCAGGAGCGAGACCGAGGGAGCACAAAGGATCACCCATCGGGATACTGAAAACGATCGTAGCGCCCCCTGGTGGTACTCATTCTGTATAAAGATAACACTTTCTCATCTAGGACCCTTAAAACGCTGCATGAAAGTCAGACGCCACAGTCTAAAAATGATGAAATATACCCCCAAAACATAGGGGGCCCACTGCATTAATTCAAGAAAATGTCAAAACAAAGGGAAAGCTGACTCGCCCACCCGTAGGGTGCACGAAGCCGCTGGGTCAAGCCACGGCACCAGCCCATGTCTGCTGGGCGCCCACCACTCGCAGCAAAACAGTCCACAGAGACGGCGCCATGGGGCGAGTGAGGCACCAGTGCTCCAAGAGAGACGTGAATGCAGGGTCCGAACTCCGACTGCGGGGAGCTGGAGTCCTGAGCAGACCCTCACGGGCCAGGGGCTGCGCCCACCGTCTTCCCCGTCCCAGGCACAGGCGGCTCTGAGGGGCCTTGACGCAGCCCCACCCGTCGCCCTCCTGGGCTTTCTCGTCCCCGAGGCAGGGCCCCCACCCCCAACCAGAAGGACTGTGGAGGCTGGTGCTCAAACTGCGAGGGAACAAACGAACGAACCCACCCACCTGCCTCCTCCCCACCGCCCGGTGCTGCTGCTACGGGAGACCCGCCCTCTCGAATCACCTCCAGCGGCCATTTGACAACCACGTGCACGAAACAAGACGACCAACGTCCTGGGTCCCTACTAACTGTACCGTGTACTTTCTGGTTCGGCACAAAGCCGGAAGTTAAAGCAGCAGAGAATCAAGTCTCGGGTCTCTTGGGACATCAGCCCGGGTGGCCCGCAGACTCGGCCCGCAGCCTGGGGGTGGCAGGGCTGTCCGCCTCCCCCACCGATGAGCTACATGCCCCTCCTTCACGCTCTTTCTAGAAGGCAGAGGCATAAAAATGGAATAATGAAAGCAACTGCCAGGCAGGAAGAAAAGCCAAAAAGCCCCTCCCACACCGACCCCTGCAGTGGTGGGGAGCTGGGCTTCGGGGAGGGGGGGTCCGGGGGCTTCTGCTGAGAAGTGCCCGCTTTGGGCTCCGGGCCCCAAGACGGGGGTCCAGTCCAGGCGGAGTGCTTCTGGTCAAGTGACGCGATTTTTCTGAGCCTCAATGCCGAGCTCTAAATGTACAAGTGTTTTTTTTCCCCTCGAGGATGGGAATGAACACTTCCTGTTAATGGTCCAAGGCCTAGTCTGGTGCCCACTCCAGGAACGACTGCTCTGACCACTAACAACGAAGTGATTTGTAATTTAAATACATACATATGTGTGTATGTACACACACGCACCACATAATCACCATATAAAGCACACAAAGTAACCGCCACTTCACTCTGAAACTCATCCTCCTCGCGGCACGTGGGGGCCGAGGCCACCACCGGCACAGGCGCTGCAGCAGCAGGGGCGCTCTGCCCTCTGAGGACTCCGAGCCCTGAACCCTGCTCGGGAACGGGCTCCTTCGAACCTCAGAGGAAAAGCGCACGCGAGCCCTGCTAAGCCTGTGGGAACCACAAGACTGGAATGAGCAGCAAACTGCCGCCTGAGGCGGCCCCCGGGGACACGGGCCCTTGGGTGCTGTCCACAGTGGCGTCTGGAGAGATGCCCCCTCCTGGTCTCCCCTGGCCGAGGCCACACCCCGACCACAGCAGCGAGTGCTCCGCCCCCCCCCCCCCCCCCGCGTCAGCCGCTCTGTCCAGGCGCGGGGCTACCTGACCTTGCCCCCCCACAAAATGGATTCACTCTGCAAGACTCGTCCAGGCGTGCGCAGAAGCTGCAAAGTGGTCGTGGCACAGCACACGCCCACCCTGCAGCTGCACTAGGTCCCTCAGTGCACAGGCCAGGGTCTGGGCTCTAGGACGGCAAACGGTGACTGGTCAGAACCCCGGAGAAGCCTAGGGCCTCCCTGTCCGTGCCCCGCGGTCTCGCTGACATTTGCGGAGCCACCCAGCGGTCCCTGGACGGGGCCTGAGGAAGCCCTGTAAACGTGAGGGCCACGATCCCTGACATGTAGGAAAAGACTACGCCCAGTGCAGCAAGTCCACCTGAAAGCCAATCTGCACAGTGAAAACAAAGGCAGGAACACGTCCCTGTTGGGGAAGTCACCACTGTGCCAACGCAGGCACCTGTTCACAGGGGCCAGTACACGGCATGGCACCCGTGACCCCTGGGCAACTCAGGCAGCCCCTGAAGGGCGGCCCCGCACTGCCTGTCTACTCCGCCCCCCGGCGCCCGTGGCACCACAGCAGGGAATGGGAGGTCAGCAGCAGAAAGGTGGGGCTGCCACCAGAGGGGGAGGGGACCTAGGCTTTATCTCCCAAGAGTCCCATCAGAAACGGGACTGGATGCTCAGAACACGTCCCTCCCAGATCTCTGACCACAGAAGGGTCACTTCACCCCAGACCTTCCAGATGCCTCCAGGTTAGAGACCACCTTCCACCCCACCATCTCTCACTCCTCCCACCTGACTTCCGGCCTAGGGATTATTGTGAGCAGCCGCCCTGCCTGGGACCGCCCCCCCACCACCACAGAGAGTGTCCTCTCTGTCCTGGGGCTGTGCCAGGGGCAGGCTCTCGGTCACCCCTGCAGACCACGCCGCCTCCCAGGCCCGAGTCCGAGGGTGTGGTTTGGGGGGTTTTGTCCCAACTCAGCTCCTCCTCCTTTCAGCTCCTTGTCTGCAAAGACGAACGTGAAACACCTGGACCCTTTGAGGAGATGGCCTGAACGAGGAGGGGGGAACGGCCGTGCAGAAGAAAGGGCGCCAGTGTACGTGCGGCAAGCGCACAAAGAGTGGCTGAGACGGAGACGCAGGATGGCCACCCGGCGTGACGCCTTCTCCCGCGGGACTGCCCGGAGGAGGGTCTGGCTGCGGTTCCGGCCGCAGCACTCGGAGCAGCTCAGGATGGGGAGCTGCCTGGGGGGGGCCGACCCCGCCACCCGTGCGGACCAGGCACCTGCTGCGCGGGCGGGAAGGCGGCACTGCGTGGCGGCGGGGTATTTACCGTCCTGGAAGACCCGCTCCACGTTCAGGCCGTAGGTGGCGCAGGTCTCGTAGTAGGTGCAGCGCTTCAGGTCACTGGAGAGCTTCCGCGCCCGGGCGTCGTCGATGACCCGTGGGTTGGTGGAGCTGATGGCGTCTGGAACACACAAGTGGGGGTGGCAAGGCGGTGAGCGCGGGCAGCTCCCTTGCGCTCAAACCAAACCCTCCCCCAGAGGCAGGCTGCGAGGCGCTCAAACCAAACCCAGGGTTTTAAACCACAGTCTGCTCCTGAAACAATCCCCTCGCACACTAGGCCAGGCACCGTTACTAGGAGTCTGGGGAAACCAGAGGACCCTGCTTCTGCAGTGGGAGGGGAAGACTGCCCGGAGCACCGGAAGGAAGCGGAAGTGTGAAATGTGGCCCCACAGGAAAAGACTTTAAAGAGGGGAAAGCCCCGGGGTCACGGCCTGCGGCTGACCTTCGATGCACGGGGACCCTGCTGAACTCGGCGCGGGCTCAGGGAGCCCCCACAGGGCTCTGCTCTGGTTCCAGGCAGAGACCTCAGCACACAGAGCAGGCAAAAATCTGCCCTCTCATGGGGGCGGGGAGGGTCCAAGTCACACAGGGAGGGGGCAGAAACGAATCGAGGTGCAGAACGGGGATAAATGCAGGACACTGCCGAGAGCTGAGCTGGCCACCGTCCTGGCGTTCCTCCAAGCCCGTGGGCAAAGGTGTGGCAGACACACAGGCTTCTCGGGAAGCTGGTGTACAAACCATTAAGAGCAGCCACGCGGGGACCCTCCAGAAGCCCACACTCGGTCACCTTCGAGTGGGCAGAGCTTCCGTGGCACTCCGGGAACCAGAGCCCTGGTGAGGGATGGAGGGTGCCCCTCACCGGGAACACCCTGCGTGGAGGGTGGCTCTGCCCAGCATGAACAGAGCCTCAGGAATGTGAGGGGACAGTGAAAAGACCCCCTCCGCCTGCGCTCCTGGTAGACACCGGTCAAGGAGAGGAACCACGGGGGGCCGGATCGCCCACCGCAGGGCACCCCCAGGGCTTCAGTCACTCGGGACTAGGTGGAGGCCTGGCCACGCCCTCCTTCGGCCAGGACACAGAAGGTCAGAGAGGGCTGCAGTGGGGAGATGGGTTCTCCTGCACCCAAGCAGGACGTCGGTGCAGCTGCCCGTGCGGCGAAATAAAAGGGACCAGAGCGGCCGCCTCACGGACTCTTCGTGCTGTGGGTGCCGGGGGAGCCCCACAGGGCTCCCTCCATGCGACCCGCCAGAGCCCCAGGGGTCGCAGCCAGAAGCCTCGCTCGGAAATGCCCTGGGCAGCCCGGCAGGAAGGCACTGGAAGGGTCTTGCTTCATCTTTCGGAAGCTTTAAGCAGGACCTGCTGTACACGAGCTACCCGCCCTAAAACGTGATTAAGAATTTCCAAGTCACCAACTGAAGTCAATTCTGTCACTAGAACAGGGACCTTTCACAGGCACGTCCTGTTTCCTCCTGGCCACTAGAGGACGCTCCAGACATACAGAAAAAAAACCCTCTGTTTTACTCAGTTTTAGGTTAAATCTCCCGAAGGTTTTAGTGACTGGACCGCTGGCGGTTTAAACGTATGCTTAAAAAAAGCAGCAGCGGCGGCGGGGGGGACGTTCTCCCCCTGCCGGCCCAACTCTAACCCTTCCCTCACGTCCAGCGCACCGAGGAAAGGCTCACAGTCCACCCGGTCCAGACAGCTGGTTCCTGCCGGGGGGTCTTGTCAGGCCTGGAAGGGCCGACACCTGCTAATTCTATTTTTATTTATATGTTTTGTGCTTGTTTCTTTTTGTTTTCTTTTTCACAGGCTAATTCTAAAGGAATTAACAAAAACAGGTCATGAACCAAGAACTGAGGAAATCATCCAACTCTCCTCGACATGACTACTTTTTAACTCACCCGTATTTCTCACAATGCAGTTTTAAAGGCAACCTTCCTCTGATTTTTAAAAACCTGACTTTTACGGGGTGGAGGCCAGGGCGTCAGCGAGTGTGACCGAGGCAGGGCCCCTCCCCCGGAGGCGCTTTGGTGAGAGGATTTTAAGTGAGCACGAGGAAAACAAGGAGCTCCTATGATGGGGTTCTCCGTTGTCTGAGGTGCCGACTAGATTTACAATAAAGATCACGAGATGGTAACCAATAGAGCAAAAAAAAAAAACCACAGTTGCAACATGCCAGCCATCAGCACTAATTTAAAGGGGCCCCAAAGATAAGTGAACACACGCCTTTTAGATTGCTCATACGTTGTACATAACAGAGAATTAAGGTGACCCAACATAGAAAAGAGGAGAAAACACATTTTTTTCTAAAGCACTCTGGGGGGCTGTGCATGTCACGTCGAGGCGGCGAAGTCATTTCTCCACGGAAGCAAACTTGAGAAATGGGCCAGCTTCACGTTCACCGTCCAAAGTGAGCCTCCGGTGGGAAACTGCGTCGTCTTACAAGGCTTTCAAACCCCCCCACACAGAGGGCAGAGACGCGCCCACACGCGCACAGGGCTCCGCTGCCGCCGGGACCCCACCCCCCACCTGCCCGCAGATGCCACTCACCCTGGGTGCCCACCAGGACCAGCGGGATGTCGCTCGTGTTCCGGTAGTTGGCCATGCGGCTGTAGTAGTGATACACTGTCTGGAAACTAATCTCGTCTTCCAAGCTGAAGACGAATATAACAGCGTCCACCCACATGGCAAACTGGGGAGAGAAGGGGGGAGGGAGCTCAGGAATTGAGCGGGAGAATCGCGTCGCCTCTGGGAGCACACACGTGGTGGACAGAAGTCCCCTCCCGCCTCGGCCCCCCACCAGTCCGGCCAAGGGACCCTCGTCCCCATCGCACCCAGGACGCCCGTCTCCAGAGAGCGCCATGGAGACGTTCTGACCCGAGGGGACGTCCGCCCTCTGTCCCAGCCGCAGTCCTGCAGATGGAAGGCACCAGAGCCCTCCTGGGGATGTGCTTTCAGTTTCACACTGAACTCCCCTGTGAGCCTTGCTGGGCCCCGTGAGGGGGGCGGTCCTCCTCTGGGCTCCCACAGGCTCCTTGGAAAACCCCCTCCCTGCCCACCGAGGACCTACTCCCCCCACCCCCGGAGCTCCTTCCTTGGAAAGCTCGGGCACCACAAACTCTCGCAGTGCCCCGCGAGGAGGACGTCACTCCGCATCGTCAGAGTGACGAACAAACTCAACGAGAATCAGGGAGACCGAGGAAAACCCAACAGCCGCCTGACGTGGGCCATTTCATCTTGATTTACCTGCACCCAGGTGAACCCGCACCAAACCCGCCTCCCCGTAGGTACCCGCACCGTCGGCCACACGCCGTCTCCGGCGGTGCCCACAGCCAGCGCGCAGAGTCGGAGCCTGGGGAAGGGGCCCTCTCCTGGGCAGCGCCCCGCGCCACCAAGACGGGGCCAGAGTGGCACCCAAGGCCCAGCTCCTCCCCACTGGAGAGGAGTTTTCAACCCGCTGGCTTTCCCGAGAAGAGCCTGCAGCGCCCACCTCAGCTCTGGCGGCCACGGGACTGGATCTCGCCTGTTTGGGGAAATTTCTGGTGGGTTAAGCTCCGACTTCCACATATAAATGAAGAATGTACTCAGTTACGGGAGAACATCTGACATGATAAAACTTCAGTAAACCTCAAGTTCAAATGATAAACTCAAAATTAAATGAGAACAAGGACTCAGAAACGAATAACCCTGACAGGCCTGAGCCGACCCAGTCCAACCTGCTGTCCGTCCAACACACTGAGGACCAGTGACAGGGGCCCTCCCTTGCTCCGCCCCTTCTCATGGGGGGAAGGGCACCTTCGGAATGGGAGGGGCTGTGGGGGGGTCCCTGGGACCCGCCCTCATCTCCCAAGACCGAAGCTGCCACAGTCTGAACCTCCATGCACAGGACACAGAAACTGGACGGTAACCTCCTCCAGGGGCAGTTGACTGCCCGGCAGCGGGCGGTGGGCTCCACAGACACCCCACCCACCCCCCAGCTCCCCCAGGAACCACCAAACCACCACAGAGCAGATTAACAAGCAGAAACTTCAGACTAGCCTAGGACGACACCCACAGCCACAGTGTTCAGGTTTCACCCACGAGGCCACCGGCTGAGGGCGGAGCACCTGCAAGGATGCGGTACCAGGAAAACGCAGCCCGCACTTGCACACGGGACCTGAAGCGGCTTTCTCCCCAGGGACACTCAAGGGCACTCTGCCCGCCACGCACAAAGGCCGTCTGCGGGTTTGAAAGGCTCCGCCCCGACGTTGCCCAAAGCAGAAATCTTCAGGGTGAGCTCCAGGCCAAGGGAGGTTTCGGAAAGAAGCGTGACTTAAATAAAGGACTGGTCCTGGGGGAACCGAGCCGACACTTTTGCGTGGCCAGAGGCCACGGCGGAGACCCCGCCCCAGCACTGGCGGCCACCACAGGGCGCTGGACGGGGTGCTCCGAGCACCCTCCCCTGGGGGGTGCCGGGGACCCCCCAGCTGGCCCCTGAGCCCGGCAGGCGCCCCTGACTCGGCCCACACACTGTGCTCAGCACGCCCTGCGTGAACGTGAACGGCCCTGAGCCGGATGGTGAGCACACCCAAGAAGGGCATTTCCAGGGAGGCCGCCGTTCACGGACCTGTCGAAAGAAACGCAGGTTCGGAGGGGGCTGCCTGGGGAGGAGCTTGGGGGAGGGGAGACCACAGGACAGAGTCAGTGTCGCAGAGACGGGAGTTTCATGGCCTTCCTGTCACCTTCTCCTGTGAGCACTGGACCGAGTCCCAAAACCAGCACAAACGCCTGCAGTGGGAAACAGCCGGGAACCGGCAGGGAGCCGCTGGTGTGCAGTACTCACCTGTGCCTCTGGGGGGCCCCCTTCATCTCTAATCAGCAGCAGATAGCTCTGTCCGTCAACCACAATCTCTTTCTTGAATCTGCCACCTGCCACACACACAAAGAATCTCGTTATGCAAGAAAGACGGGTGTGCAGAGCGCAGACAGACGTGGGCTTCGCTTGTGGAAAAATACACCCCGGGCTGTCGCCCTGGGGCTGCTCTGAGCCTTCAGGAGCGGGTGCCGGATCTGCCTCCAGCAACCACTGGGTTTTGAAAGACCTGAGCTCAGATTTCAGTATTTGTCTTAAAGGACCCATGCCCCTTTCTGGGTGGAATCCACAGCCTCGCACTCAAGGCCAGGACGACTCATGGCAGAGGAGGGTGGGGTCTTATCCTGTGCGTCCCTCCGGGCAGCCTCGCCCACTGGGTGCACTTGGACGCACGGGGCGTGGACACAGCCCGGAGCCGGTCGTTCTCTTGTTCAGTTTGTAAAAGAAACGGCTCTGCCGTGCCTGCCGGGTGCCTGGGCTGAGGCACGCTGGCAAGTGCGAGGGCCGGGAGCCTGTATTCTCCTCAAGGGAAACCCAGTTCTTGGTGTGGACACAGAACATCACAGGATGGTGCTTTGCAGTCACAGCGCACAGGGAAGGTGCCGACTACCACAGACGGTTAGACAGAAACTACTGATGACGGCCCCGCGGGGAGCGACAGAGCGGTGCAGCGGGCGGATGGGAGGTGACAGGGCCGGGCGGTTAGTGGGAAGCCACCAGGAACCCCTGCTGGACAAGGACAAGGCGGGAGGGGCAGCCACGTGGAGGTGGCCACCTCCGACATCGGACATAGGGCGGGGGCTCCCTGGGGGCCCCCACCACGGCCACGCTCGTCTCCCGGCAGCACTGCCCTGGACCAGCCTGCCAGGTGGGAAGCGCGACCGCCGCTCTGGGCCCCTCGGCCTCTGCACAAAGAGGCCACCTTCGGGATTCGGGGCGGAGTCCACCCCAGCGAACCCTCACCGGGGTCCTGAGCCCCTTTCTGAGACAGGAGTGCACCGGTGCCCGCGCTCACTCTTAGCTCCTTGCACAGCTGCCTCCCAGAGCGCCGTCAAAACCCCAGAACGCCAGGGGCTGGAGGGCCGGCTGGTGCGGCCGCCATCAAGGTGCGGCCTCCTCCACCAGTGGCCTGACGGGGGACCGTCCAGCCCGCCATCAAGGTTTGAGCCATTCCTGCACCAGAAAAGGGGCACCAGGGCCCCCCTCTGTGCGAGGTGGCGGTGAGCTGGCCAGCGTGCACACACACGCACACACACACAGGCACACGCATCTGTTCCCACACCCCTTCCTGGGCACGGAAGAGACAGGTAAAATGCACTTATTTTGCTGGGTGTTGGTTTGTTCAGTAATAAAAACCAAAGAGAACTTTCCAACGTTAAAGTCAAGTCATCTCCCACGCTGACCCCTTCCAGCACTGTCTCCAAGGAAGGAAGGGTCTGCAGGAGGAGTGGGCAGGACACACTGCCCGTGGGGGACGCGGCAGGAGGGCCGGCAGACACCTCGCTCTCGGTCCCCCAACCGCCAGCTCTGCGTAAGTAAGAGACCTTAACACCCCCTCCCAGCCAGGCTGTGGTAACTACGGAATGAGCCAGGAGACCCCCCACCCCCCACCCCCACTGTGACAGCCGCCCGCGCCTCAGTCCTCAGTCAGCGACCCCAGGAAACTAACACCGCCCCGCCCCCTTCCGCCCACCCCTGCTGACAGGCTCCTGCTCCCCCCCACGCAGATGCGTCCCCTGGAGGGTGCGCACCCTCTACCCCCTCCTCTCTCTCCTGCTCTGCTGTGGTCTCTGGCTTGGCAGCCTTGAGCCGAGGACTTCAGACCCAATTTACATCACCTCTGTAAGGTGGCAGAAACTCCTTTTCACATCTGTGAGGCCCCTTCTGGTTCCCAAATCACGGCTTTGTATGCCCCCCCCCCCCCAGATACAAGTGCACCTGGGACAACTGTACTAGAATGACAATAAAAAGACACAGTGTATCTTTTCAACACTCTACACTTGTAAACACCAGCCACTTGCAATTGGCTTGTATGATTTCTTTGGGTACATGTGCATCAAGAAATGAAAATTAAATACATGCACCTGCCACAGACCCAAAGGTCTGGTAAGGAGCTAAAACCCAGCCAGGTGTGCGCGCACCCAGGCTGCGAGAAAGTGAGGGAGCTGTAAGTCCTGTTACCCCTCTGGGCGCCAGCAGGCCCACCTGTAACGTGGCGGCTGGTCCTGCAGAAAGAAACGCGGTCTAGCAGGCGAGTGAAAGAACCGAAAATCTGCGTCCTACGCAATGAAGTCCTCAGGATGAAAAGGGGCGTGGCTCCAAGCCTCACTCCTCTGCGGTGGCCGCCGCCCTCCTTCTAAGTTCAACCCCAGTCAACCGATCACTCCCCACCCAAATCTTTGAGGGCGCCACCGAACACAATACCCCAGTTCATTTTTAATGTTCATTTGTAAAATGTCTATTTTATAACCCATTTTCCAATTACTTCCCGCAGGTCCACCTCCCACAACACCATGCCCCCGAGGCCCGCATTGTGGGCGAGCAACTTGACGGCGTAAAACCTTCTCTGGCGTCCGAGTGTTACCGTGTAACATTAAAGTACTTCATGGATAATTTTATTTCTAGAAAGCCTCCCGCCACCTCCGTACTGGAAGCCATCGACACGTGTCTGGCTTGGCACACCTGTGTACCGCAGGGCCACCAGGGCTCCGTCCTGTGACGATGTCTCCATGAGAAGGGGACGGACCCCCGTGCTTCACTCGCATCCACTCCTGCCTCGGGTGCGGTCAGAGAGAGAGGCAGGGGGTGGGCTGGACCGAACGACGCATCACTTCTGGGCCCCCTAGTCCTGAGCGCCGCCCGGGTCTGAGCCCAGCCTCGCCACGAGCAACCTGCTGAATTTCCCGTCCGCCCACGGGCAAGTTTCCGGGGATCCCGCCCCAGTCACCGCCGTCTGCCCTGGAGCATCTGCCCTGGAGCTTGCCGTCCGAAGTGCGTCAAGGTCCTCGCTTCTTCCCCCAGCGGGTGAGGTGACGCCGAGCACACCCGCCAGGGACACGGACACGCGTGTGTTGCGAGCAGCTGTGTTGCTGGAAGAACGGAGCTGCTCTGCCTCTCACCCCCGGGGCAGGAAGACCTCCGGGTGCCCCTCGGACTCCATCCGCAGCCGCCTGCCCTGGAGGTTTCGAGGCCTCCGTCCTGAGTCCTGGCCGCCGGCCGCAGAAGCAGCTCTGGACTTGGGGTGCTGGGGTCCGGTGAAGCGCCTGGATTCCTCGCATGGTGACGCTGAGACCAGATGGGCCACAGCCACGACAGGCCTCCGAGGCGTGAGGGCAGCTGCACGGGGAGGTGTCAGCGCCCCTCTGCACCAGGTGCTGCTTTCGGGGGGGGGGAAGGAACTCTGGGTAAACCCCACCTCAGACACTGGGCGTCAAGTTGGCCGACCAGACCCAAAGCTCTCAGCACATCACCCACCGCCCACACGACACCGGCGGGCCGGTGATGCTCAACCTCCAGCACAAGACAGAGGTCCACCCAGCGGGAACCGCGGGCCCCCAGCCAGCACAGCACACAGCAGGGGTCCCAGGCCACACCTCCCCCTGCCGTCCTCCCTTCCCGGAGCCTCTGCTCAGGCAAGTCGGCCCCACACAGCTGCCCCGCATGTGGGCCCCACGGCCCTGCTGTGACTGTGGAACACCCACAGGGTGGCCTCAGGAGCACAGGGGGCCCGCCCTTTCCTTACTCCACCCACTGCTCTGGGTGGGGGTGGGGGGAGACTGTCCTCGGCTCCAAACTCAGCCCCATCTGGGAAGAGGAACAGGAAACCCACCGCCTGCCGCTTTGCTTCATTTTTATTTTTACTCTTCGTCTGCACATTTCCTTGAAAGCCAAAAAAAAAAATTTGTCTTGCTTGTGAAACTCCAGGAGTGCTGCTTCCCCTCTGCCTAAGAAAGGGGAGGAGCTTCATTCCCTCATTGGGTTGGGACGCTGTCCGTCAACCACAGCCCCGCCCTCAGTGCACACGGGCCTCAGGGGCCTGGCAGCGGCAGGGCTCCTGCTGCCACAGCTCAGAGATTCTCATCCACCGAGACGCCTTCGGCGTTTGCCCGACACTTTCTTCTTCCTCACGGACCCAGATCTGGTTGCGTCCTCACTGCTGAGGTGGAGTGGGACGCTCCGGAGGGACCGCGACCGTTTTTATTTCTAAGAGAATATTAAGAAGTTTCAATAGCAAACGTGCCAGAATTTTTTTAAATTAATTCTACTCTTTTAGCTCTGATAAAAATACTGATGTCAGAAATGTGCTAACGATTTTGGAGAAGTTTTGTGTTGTGACCTTTAAAAGGAATGGCAGACCACGTGTTATTTTCATACCGGGAAAACATTTTATTAGTAACATTTTAGTTTACAAAGCTTGACCAAGTCAGATTTCATTTCCTCTGCCAATTTTTTAAAAACTCACACTGATTTTTTTCTTTTTAAGTAACTAGTGTGAAATGCACCAACAGAAAGGGCCTCCTGTGTGGTGACTGCTACGGTTTCCATGGCGACATGCGGGTGGACTTCCCGTGATGAGCCCCCGTGACCCACGCGGAAGCAGGAGAGCGGGAGAGCCGGAGCGCCAGGTTGGGGGATCCCTAGAAATTAACTCTATTCCTCATCCCCAACGAAAGGAGGGGAAAGTGAAAACCGAGAGTGCGAAGCCTCGCCAACACCAGCCAGCCCTAAGCAAGACAAGACTCCACACCGACCCACAGCCCCCGAAGTATGGCAGCAAGAGGTGATTCCAGGACCACAGGGGGGCAGGGAGGGGGGAAGGGCTCGGTCTATTCAGGAGGACAGCACCCAGCCTCGGGCCATGGCCCATGCCCTCCCTTGCAGGTGATGGAGGTTGACAGCTGGCGAAAGGGAACATGGGAGGCGGTCCCTCTCTGTCCCTTCTCTGGTGCCCCCATCATGAGGGGCTCCTGCCTCAGGAAGCCAGCCAGCGGGGGTTCCCCACACCCCATATCTGACGGGCACCTCGGGGGAAACAGGGCCGTGCAGCTGCCCCAGA